ATATAGTTGTGTCTTTCTGTGTGTTTTAGCCCGGTGATGGTCTGGTGACCTGTGAAGGGTGTCCTTTGCTTCTCATCCTGGAACTGGCCCCCACCATACAGAGGATGATGTATCTGTAGTCAACGTTTAGTTACATCATTTCCAGGCGATGACGTCCATCTGTGTTTTTTCGATGCATCAGTTTTCTTGGAACTTACCAGCCGAGCCACCGGGCGGAGAGTTGGCAGAACTCGAACAAGCCGTCGAACACAGGACGGTCCTCTCTCTCCAACGTTGACTGCAAGATGGAAACAATAAAAAAAATGGATGAATAACTGAAGTGAGCATCAACGGAAGAACGGCAGCTAGTTGTGAGCAAATATAGACAGTGAAAATAACCTTTTGACAGTATATTGACATCATACCAGCAACATTACTACAGTTTCATATCTCTAGAACATGTCACAGACATTGCGGGTTTTTTTTGTGACCATGTAGTATATAGACCAAACAATCAACGTCATGGAATAAATAATCAACATATGTATAGATATTGAAAATGACTATTACCCACAGCCCTAGTGACAACCCCATACAAGCAGCCCGCACAGCGCTGCATGTGCTTGCTGAACTTTGACCTGTTGTCTGGCCGTATGGACCGGAGGAACCTGACGCAGTCGTCGCTGTGGTATTTGGTCATCTGCTCTGCTGGGGCTCTGTGCCGCTTCTGAAACACAAATCACAGCAGCTGGTTTGACAACTAGAGGATAGAAGACCGCAGCTGTGTTCATGTTTTATTCACACCTCACGTTCCTTTAGAACAGTGCAGCGTACAGTGAAGGATGTGGTTCAATCATTTAGAGGTGAGAAACATACATCGGTCTCCATTCTCCTGTACAGTCCATAGTTCAGAAGCAGGTTGTGAGTCATCCGGGTTTATGACTGGCCAGGACTGCTTCTGTCACGCGTCCTGTAACATTATTAAATGCACTCTTAATAATCAGTAATATGTTAATGAATATTCCCAGGGTAAGGAGGCTGTAAAAGTGTTTCATGTCATGACTGGATTATTTGGCAGGGAGAATATTAAATGGGAATGCGAGTTAAAGCAACAGTTGAATGATTTATTTCTCTCCCTGGCTGCCTGTCTTGTATTGTGGACAAAGTGCTGATACAGCTGTTCACAGCGTTTTTTTATTCCATCGCCAGAAAGAATTTTTGGAGTTCTTATGGAGTGAAGATGTATATGCTGTAATCTACATTAAAAAACGGAATTCAAAGTCTGTCACATATTTATGGCCGGAGCGCACTGAGTGACTTTCCCTCTCTGTCTGTGGCTCTCAGCCCTTACCCCACTGGTTCCTATCACTTACTGTAAATAGTTCTCTTTTTTAAATAGGGTTTGTAATGCACATTACTGAGACTTCTTAAAATGTTATGCGGATCATGAATACCATTTCATCCATGATTTCCCCAGGTCCCCAACTCTTTTTTAAAAATCATAAACATTTCAACCTTTTTTTTAAATTATCTATTCTCTTCTCCTTAGTGGTGCTTCACAGGTAATATTGTATGGATACCCATGTACAGACACATACTGTATACACTGACATATTGTATCCACCATGATGACAATTTCTGTAGATGTGCCATTCTGCTCTGGTTACAAATGACAGTTTGCTGACTATGAGTGTGTATGAACAATTCTATCCAAAAGTTAAAAACAGCAAGGCCAGGCCATTGTGACACCTTCTGGCCCTGCACCACTGTAAGTTAATAGGAACGCCAGCTCAGCAGATACCGTGACTAATTATGTCCTCGTTGACCTGAACTGCTGACTTAAAAAAAAGAAGCGAATCCTCCTGGGAGGAGGGCAACATAAAATTTGACGGTCAAGAGGACTGTTTCCTATACAGCGAAAGAGGCGTGAACACTGAGTCCACTGAGTCAACTACGCCTGTGCGCATTGTGCGTGTCAGAGTTACGCATTTCCCTTTGTGGCTTTAAAAAACATTTAATTTGACTCTCTGGGTCGAAAGTTTGCCATCACTCCCATGTATTCTTTATAGGCCTGCATAAATACCATGGGGCACAAAGGCTGGCCCATGATCAGTTATGCTAAGCACGTTGACGTCTAGCTAATTACAACGACATTACCGTGACTTTATCCTTAGTTTACGTTATTTTCTTTGTGGCCTTTATACTGCTGCATAAACACAATGAGTCACTTTTCACCACACATAAAGATATTTAACATATGAGCGGCTGTATAGAGAGTATCAATTTCAGTAATATTAGATACAAAGTATCAACATTTGCTTGCCACGGTTATGTTGAAAGTAAATGTTGCTTCTTCCCAAGTTGCTCTGACAGAAAGCAGGCAGGAATCCACTGCACTTTATTTTGCTGCTGCTACGCAACACTAGGTGTCAGCAGCATCCTGTCTGTTACATGATAATCCACAAGCGAGAGGATATTTGTCCCAGAAATCAACTGGTTTCCCCTACACTGAAATTCTACGTGTCTCAGGTTTACTGTGCATCCAGTAATGTATCATGAGCAATACAAGCACAACATCAAGTAATCCAATAAAGGGCTTAAAAAAATAGATTTTGACACTATAGTTCCTCAAATTGTGAGGCCCCTGTCTTTCAGAGGGGCTTGAAATTCGCAGTGCGCTGTGTTGGTGCAGTTGTGATAGAACATACTTTGAAAATGTTTTATGAGGAAGGAAATGTACACGGCGCTTTGTTTGTTAGAGCTCAAGGATACAAACAATGGGGTTTGTTGAGTAACACCTGACTAAATATAACTTTTGTTAGTTTAGAAGAAAACGCCACAGGGCCCCAAAATGAAAAGAACAGTTTCACATTTCGAGGAACATGCTTATTTGCTGTCTTTCTCAGAGTGAGATGTGAAGGTTGATACCACTCCGGGTCATCTGGATCATCAACCATCCTGAGATCTCGCTCTCTCCTGACTGTTGGTGCGTCATTTTCACATGTTCGATCTGGATCTTTGTCCTGATAGCTGCCTGACATCCTACTGGATCCATTTTTTTCATATATGTTCTTCAATCTTTCAATATATATATCTTTTCATCCTAATTGTTCATACTGTAATTTGATTACCGTTGGGTGTTTCTTTTATCTATTCTATTTCATCTATTTACTGAGGTTAAAAGTTTTTCTTTTTCTGAAGCGAGGGTTTAAGGACAGAGTGTGTCCTATTCTGTACAGGTTGCAAAGCCCCTTGAGGCAAATTTTTGATTTGTGATATTGGGCAAATTGACTTGACTTCCTCTCATGTCTGTGTGTGTTAAGCACGGAAGGTAGCATTAAAGGTGACACATCATGCTAATTTTCAGGTTGATACGTGTATTTGAGGTTTCTACTAAAACATATTTACATGCTTTAATGTTCCAAAAACACATTGTTGTTCTCATGCTGTCTTTCTGAATATTCCTGTTTTCACCCTCTGTGTGAAACGCTCCAATTTAGCGCCTGTCCCTTTAAGCCCCCTCCTGCATGTGCCATAGGAAGTGGAGCCAAATCTCAAAGTTTTCTGATCTTGGCAGCCCACAAACAAACATACTGGGTTGTCTTATTCAACAGTTTTTTGGTTGGTATGCACTCCAGATACCCAAATCTATGTGCACAAACACTGAAAAAGTCAGTTTTAGGGTGGTCACAACCTTCTCAGCTATTTCCCAAAACGTTGATCGATTCCCATTTACTGGCAAAAGTGAAACCAAAGTGAACAATAAACCAGCTGACAAATGTTTACACGTTATTTTAATTTAACCTTTTTTTTTTTTTAACAACACACTTATGATACAGAATGAGTATTTGCACAGAAACAGACAAATCTTGCTAATCAGCATAGAATAATAGAATTGGTTTGACGGCAATCATCAGAGTACAACCCTCTTTTTTTTCCCCAGCATGGCTTTTGTGCCAGGAGTTTTGCAAACCAATGAAAGAGCTGTAAGGGCGAGGAACCAACATACGTATGTCAAAAAAAACCCAAACTTGAGTTTTAAATGCTTTCCAGGTTTGAGTCAAGCTTGAAACACTAGATCCTATTCTAACTAGCCTGTTCTGATCTTCAGACTGGGTGCCGTGTCGGGTAGGAAAAGAGGTGACCTTCTAATGGATTCATCACAGCAGGAATTGAAAATGAATCGCAGCCAAAACTAATATGAATAGACAACAGAAGACGACTAACACAAGAGTGTAGGCTGTTAAAAATGGCATCTTGATTGCACATGCAAATTTGGTCAAATAAACAACACGAGGGGGAACAAATGAACAATTAGGTTGTTTATCAAATATCATTTAGTCATCTTTTGAGGTGTTTTATCGGGAGAAAAAGCATCACACATAAAGCTTATCTTAACAGCGTGAATGTCAGCGTTTGATAGTATTTTAAAGAGCAAACAAAAAAATAATCTCTTCCGTTCAGTACTGCTTTTTTCTCACTGTATGGGGAACAATGACAGTGACAGACAGGTGAATTAATTTGCAAGATCAAGCAAACTGAATCTTTTAGTCAAACCATCAAAGTATTTTGTTTTATTTTCACAAACGTACAAACAAACTCACATCAAGTCCCTTTTATATTTGGTCACACTGTCATTCCTGTATTAAACTCAAAGTGCTATTAATATTTTTATTTGAGATCTCACAGCTTGGCATTTCTAAAAAAAAAACAAAACAAAAAAACACCAAAAGAATCTCATTCGAGAAGTCCAAAGCCCGTCACGGCCAGTTGAACGTCCTACCAGTGATCTGGTAGAACTTCTGATTGAAGGGGTGAAAGAACTTCTGCAGTTTAGTCGCCACCAACGGGTCCACCTCTGGATGGATGCGGCCCTTGCTGCCCGCCAGGCACTTGTTGAAGACAATGTTAAATCGCAGGCAGTAAAATCCCCTGGTGGCGTTGAAGTACAGGTTGTACTGGCTGATTCTCGAGGGCAGGTTCAGGAAGTGCTCGACAAGCTGCAGCTCCGGCAGCGGGTCCGTGATGAGGCGGTCCCCGTCTACGATGTGGAACTGCTCCACGGGGAAGTACTTCAGCCAGCGCTCCAAGTGTTTGGTGTAGATGCTGGTCCGCACCGCTTTGTACTTTGTGTTCACCTCGCAGGTGCCGGAGTCCACGGCCAGCTTCTCGAACTTATGGTAGGTCTTGTTTTTGCGCTCCTTGCCCTCCAGCACTTGCGTGTAGTCGGACACCGCTCTGGTGGTGGGCTCGCGGACGATGATCAGCAGCTTGATGGAGGAGTTCATCTTGAAGATGCGTTCGGGGACCTCCTCCGTGATGAAGTAGGCGGGGCTCTTCTCGATGGTGATCTGGTGGGGGAAGGAGAAGGGCATTTTCTCCCGGTACCAGTCGATGCCCCGGGCGTAGTTTTGGTCATTGTCGAAGAAGTGGATCTCCTGCGAGGCCTTGACCACCGCCGGATGCAGGTTGAGCATCTCCAGAAGGGCGCGGGTGCCCCCCTTGCGCACCCCGATGATGATGGCCCGTGGCAGCTGCTGGACCAGGTTGTGCAGGCGGATTTGCTCTTTGGTGGCATTGCCCTTGCGCAGTTCATGGAGTAGGCCGCGCTTAAACTGCAGGGTACGGAGAGGGATTTGCTCTGGCTCAGGAGGGGGCAGTCGGCTCTCAATGGGGCAAATGGGCTGTAGCCTGAAAGAGACAAAAGCCAAGAAAAGACATCCTCAGTCTCAACACTGTTAAAACGTACTCAATTCAAGAATCATTAACTTAAGTTCAGCAACTACTGTCCATGCCAATAAGATTTTGCACAAAAATACATGCCATCTGTTTCATCTGATATGGGGTCTCTGCAAAAGAAATCTCCATCTCCTGAAGAAAATAGTTTGTCTTTTATTGAAGCTTGAAAGCTTGAAAATCTTGTTTTTTTTGTCAACCAGAAGCGACACAAGAGGGTGGAGTTCATCCGGACTCTGAATAAGACATTTGCAGGTGACTAAAATGTTACAGTTAACTTCATCAACTGAAAGTTCTGAGACAAAATCATGGACAACTCCCAGACCGGACAAGGACCTGTCAATCATAAGGTAGCCACGCCCCTAAATCATACTCTGCTTTATGGCCTATTTTACTCTAAATGGACCATAATTTACTAAATGAACATCATGCTGTATTGAAGAAGACTTGAAACTAGAGATTGAGACCATAAACTCATGTTTACAATGTTTACTGAGGTAATAAATCAAGAAAGAAGTAGAGTCACTTTCTCATAGACTTCTATACAACCAGAGGAGTCGTCCCTTGATGGCCATTAGAAAGAATGCAAGTTTAAGGCACTTCTGCATTGGCTTCACTTTTCAGACTGGGAGGTTGTCACCTGGTTCAGACTTAATAAGCTGCAAATGAATTGCTCTTCATTGGATCGATAAAGTTGTCTGGATCTGAACTTCTCGTGAGAAGGAGCACATTTAAACAACTCAATGAAGTGGAGGATTGCCTGTATTGAATCCCCAATTCACGAAACTCTGTTCTAGTAATCAGTGAATTGTGTTGTGACAGTGATGACTTACCTATCCAAGGTCCCAACCCTGGCCACGAGATAGAGGACACTTCCGATAGCGAGGCTGCCCAGAACGAAGAGCTTCTGTCTCAGCAATGCCTGCTGTTTGAATAGCATGGCCCTCCATCAATCTTCAGGACTGCGTCTTCAGCCTGCAGAGAGCAGAGTACATAAACCACTAATCACCAGGGGAAGAGAGACAGCCTAATGTTTATTAACACACACTCAATCAAGTCTTACAAGTGATTAAGCCACACTCACGCTCGCCTGAAAAGTGCTGCAGTGCTATTAGAGAAAATGCTCATTCACCATCCACCACTTTGTTGCACTCATTAGTTTATCAGTCAAGAATCAGATCTGATCCAATGTACAGGTGTGCTGTGTGAGGGCGAATAAAGGCATCAACCTGTCACATTTGAAAGTGGTAAGTTTTGCATATATTTATGACACAAGACAAAGGCTCTGTAGTTCAAACCAAGAATGGTATTTTTGAAGTAAAGAAAGTCGATTCCAAATGAGACACTCACAATCTCAATACAGAAAACATACAAGAATGCTTTTTAAAGGGGAACACCACCTAAGTTAAGAATTCCAATAAGTTATTTCAATGGCCTCGGGAAGTCCAATCCATATTATTGATACTTACTATACAAGTATACTGTAGGTGTCAACTTTGTGATGACATCAAGTATAAAGTGTGGAGCTGCTCCACAGACGATTGATTTTGTCATTTTTTTATACCCAAATGAGCTTTATTTAATTTTAGTGTTAGAAAATATACATGGATACTCAGAACATCTTTGATGACAGGACACATTTGAGTTTTAGCACGTTAGTTTTTGGAGAGAATTGCTCATGTTAAGTTAACTTATATTTTTGACACTTTCTTAGACCACAGTAATAACATGTATGATGGTAAATTATAGTATCTAAACTCATTCTTTTTTTAAAATCTTCTGTTATTTAATATGGGACCCAATCCTAGACCTTAATGCAATCTTGTTTTCTTCTTGACGACGTACTTTCAAATCTTCATCCCTAAACATTTTCAGACAACCAGTACAGATGTAGACATTATGTTGATGTTAATGTCCCTTTTGAGCTTTGAAGAAAATGAAAGAATTCATCTCTTTATCCAAGAGAGGGCACTACACCCTCTCATAAAGATGCAGCACAGACATATTTGTCTCAGTGTAATTAAAGAAAAGACTTTCTTTTTCTTTTTTCCCCCGCAGATCGATACCTGAGCCCTTTCCGCATCTGCACGCTTATCACGGTGTGACTGGCTAAATCACATTATGGAGTAACAGATCCATACAGAAGTGGTAGCGTTATAACAAAAGGGCCGACTGCACTCTACTGCCTACCATTACCAATAGAGCAGATCCTCTGGAGCATCTCATAAACAAGTAGAGCAAGCTCTTGACCCCAGTGTGACTGAAAAACATTTCACTCATATTGCCTCGTGGTGACTTCTGAAGGGGGACCAGCAGAGCAATTGCAATTTCATCCGTCTGACAAAGCGGAAGAATAAAGCCAGTTAGCCAGGGGCCAGTCTCGTGTTGGTAGAGTCCCATTTAGGAAAGAAATGTTTTTCATTACAGCCTGTGTCTCTAAATCAAGCGGGAGCTATAAATTAAATTGCTTCCAATGGAAACAAAGTCTGTTTTTTTTTGTGGCAAGACACTGATAATAAAGTAATCTACTTTCTTTCAGAGTGTGTTTTCAAGAAAATCTTTGAAACAGGAAGACTATTAAACATGTGATCCTCAAATTTTTTTACCTTTAAGATGGTTTTTAACCTGACCCACCAGATGGTTTGTGACACAGAACCAATTTCAGAAGCCTTCATTATAAAACTGTTTGCAAAAGGGCGGGCACTTTCAAAACAAAATACGTGACAGCTAATTGGATGAACCATCTGTCAATCAAACTGTTGCCGAAGCCAGTCCGTAGAAGAGCGAAAACATCTTTTCCATCGAGTGAAGAAAATTCTCTACAGTTCTGATATGACTGATGCTATTGCAGCATCTACGCTAACCTCGCTAGGAGCCGCCATTGTTGTTGAGAACAACAATCGCCTCGCGGTGTCTTCTCGCACACCTATGCCACACCAGTAACTACCAGTAGCTCCTCACAGGATGCTGATTTGTCCGAGCTCTGGCTTACCAGGCCTCAATGAATGGAGGAAGATCAAATACAAAGATTATTTATTTCCAGTTCGCAACGTCTGCTACAGCGTCAACTTCTGACCAAACTACAATGTAGCTGACAAGCTGGCGAAATTTCAAAAGTTTTCAAGTCGCTTGAGAATTGAATGGAGACATGGCTAGATTCTTGTTTTGAAGACTAAACAGTCGAAACTCTTTTGAAAAATAGAAACTCTTTTGAAAGGCTATCGATCGGGCATGTACAGAGACTCAGGTCTAACCAGACACTACTCTGTTGTACTAATGAACAGTGAGTACCCTTAGCTGCACCTTCTTCATGACTTATTTATAAGCAAACGAAATTAATTGTTTGCCCTGTCAACGAGCTGTGCCAGGCTGTGAGCACAAGAGGGGGCCCCATACAGAATTATCAATTATGGAGAAGTTATTGTTATAACCTATGTACTGCGACAAAACCTTTTGTTTAAGGAGCTAACAGAATGTACAGTGGCTCTAGCTGTGTAAATCTAGCTGCATTATACAGTTAGAGTCAAGTGCTTTAGAGAGAATTTCACTTTCCCTCGTGAATGTTGATGTCAATTCTAAAATAGCAGCGTCATTTCTAATCTACAGTGCTGGTAAAATTGTCTCTGAAATGACACCTCTGCTCCTGACAGATAAGATCACCCCTGAAAAGAAAGCGTGGGAGTTGTTTATGTTGTCTATGTAAAGCAGATTCTCATACAGCGTGACCTAAAAAACACTCGGCTGATTTCTCCTTGTCGGGCTTCAAGACAGAGTTATGTTTTGATCGAAAAATCACAGGGTGGCAGCTGGGGGAAAGAAGACAAAATGGTGAAATGCCCGGCGTGATGCAGTGACATCCTCAGCAAGGGACGCAACATTTGTCTGAGGGTGCTTTAGATCGAAGTGCGCTGTCAGTAACGATCTGGGGGGGGGGGTTCTTCATGCAGTACATGGGCACAGGGTGTGTGATCAGAGAAATCAAATAGCACTTGAAAAGTTTGTTTGCCTGGTCCAAATACAGAGGGAGCTGGCATGAGGGCGGGGGATTTGCAAGAGAGCTACTACAGAACCAAGTGTACAGTTTCACAGGTGCAATAAGCTGCGTTCAGCTGCACAGTCTATATGCCAAAAAGAAACGGACTAGTAAGTATACTCCAAAGCTAAGAAAAGGCTGTTTAGTCTACCCTGAATACAAAAGTGTTGCAAAAAACAAACAACATTCAGGGGCTTTGCTGCTACAGTCTTACTTGGTCTGGTATGACCTAATATTTGCATCTGTTGTTAGCAAACTGTACATAGACATTGCTCTATAACTGACATTACTTGGCCAATTTGCTGACTTTATGACTATTGCTTACCTAAAGCTACTACGAGGAACTGTCTTTTTGTGTTGATTTTGGCGGACCATGTGGATAAAAGTGGTATCCGAGCACCAGAGTCCTTAAATAAAACCTCTTATTTTACCGCAGCACGGTCTAATGCTGTGTTCGCCCCACTAGATTACATACAAGGTCAATGCAAAGACGCAAATGGACGCGAGCAAACGCAAAATCGCGCCGACATGAATACGCAAAATTTACGTCATTGAAAAATTCCAACTTGCACGAGGAATTCGCGTAACAATGTGTCGCGAAACCCCATCAGCTTTGAGATTCTCCTTCTGTCATCACGGACGTTCTGCCGTTGTTGAATCAGAAACTATGGAGGAAAAAGATATGTGGGCACCCAGAGCTCTACGATACCTGTGTGTAAATGTATGTGTATAAACCATATGGTACAAACAATAACAACGCTGCCGTATCTACACATATATGACCTTTTTTTGAGTGTTGATGGAGCTGCTACAATGTTACATAGACTAGCACCGATCGATCCGAGCTCCATTGAGAAAACAAGCATTTTAAAAGTTATTTGCGTGTCGTCTTGTGGCGAGAACTAACAAAACATTAATTCAGACTTTGGCACGAGATGACAAGTATTAAGAATAACTATATAGAAACAGCTAATCTTCTCGCCGATGCTCTTGTTTACTTCTGTAGGTCGTTTATAGGCATCCGTATTACATTGAGACTGTTGATAACCAGTTCAAAGTTCATTGTAGTAACTTTAATGCTACTGTTTTACCACTATAACAGTATATTTTACCATTCACTATTGTCCTGTAACTGTTCCTCAAAAGTTGCACAGGCCCACTTTAACCTGTGATTGTTACCCCAATAAAGAATGGAAAGTATAAATGGACCATGAATGTCCTCTTTTTTTCTGGCAATCTTTAAAGTTTTCTTTTTCTTTTGTAAAGTTAAAGTTGAAATTCTTGGCCAAAAACATACGGGCTCATCGTCACACATTTATGGAAAGATGATTATTATTTTTCAAGATACCTTGCCACGCACACAAATTCATGTGATGGTAGTACAAGACAAAAAAGCAGGGAGATCAACAAAATCAATAGGAATAATCCTCTAGAGGCTATGAAATTTTATGCAAATATGGCAAGCTGTTGCCAACACATCTTGCGCATAAGAAGATACAGCATCACGTTTACTTTCTTTGTAGACTGAAGATCATTTGGAGCCAGATTATATTTCCGATTCAGAGTGTCATGCTGTGCTGCAGTAACGCCTGGCTCAGCAGCCCATCTGTGGAACTTAAAACTAAACTACATAATCAAATCCAAATTTGTACAAAGATTACAGGCCCACCTGTGGCACGCTCCTCTCAAGCGACTCCCAAAAAGAGCATGCTCTTACTAACAGTATCCATTCGGACTCCTTGCATGCTTTAAACAGAGAATTCAAACTTCTGCCCTCAAATAGGCGATTTAGAGCCTCACCATTTTAACACAACAAGCTGAAGAACCAGTCTATCCTGTAAATCTAAATTAGATCTGAATCCAGAGGAAATAATGTGATATGTTTAACTGTAATGACTGTATTTATTTTTCATGTTCAACTTATGTACATTTCTTGAAGGGA